TTGCATTTTAATCAAACATGTTCAAACCAAACTTACATCTCAGCTAAATATGATGTCACCAATCTTGTGTTTCAATCAAACATATTGCAACCAACCTTGCAATTTAATCAAACATGTTCAAACCAAACTTAAGTTTCAACCAAATGTGATGTCACCAAACTTGTGTTTCAATCAAACATATTGCAACCAACCTTGCATTTTAATCAAACATGTTCAAACCAAACTTAAGTTTCAGCCAAACATGTTGCCATTAAACTTACTTTTTAACCAAACATGCTGTCACCAAATTCACGTCCTAACCAAATATATTGTAACCTAATCTAACCTAACCTTACCTATATCTTGTAACTAAAATTTTGATCAAAGTTTGAGTAATAGCCTGCAGCGTTAGATGTACGATATCGCGTACGAAGCAGCGTAATAGTAAGATGCTGGTATCGTTTAGCAAAAGGAGGATCGAACGTCGTTTCGATTCCAGGAGCGAAGCGTGCAGCTCGCGAGGGCCCAGCTACGCCCCGAGTGCTCGTGGAACGCGCAGAAGAAGCGGAGCTAACCCGGTTTTCCAACGAATTCGACGACGGGGACGAGGATCAGTCGGGCCTCGAAGCGTTCGAGTAACGTTCGCTCCGCACGAAAAACTTGCACGCTTCGTCGCCGGTAATTTCAACGTAGACGGGCCGGGCAAAAAGAACGTGGCCCGACAAAAGAGGCCCGATACAGGCGAAATTACCTTCCCGACAACCTTACACGGCCACGACTCGGCCACTCCTAATAAGGGACGACGGTATAAATAAAGTCATTTGCGGTAGTTGCCGCTCGTCCGAGGGCCGTTCGACGAATCGGCCCTTTCGTCGCGTGTAAAAGAGACCTCGCAATGCACCGTGGACCACGTCGATCCGTGTCACACGAGCGGAATGGGCCCTCGACGGATCGGTTTGTTTTGTGGATTAGCTCGCGTGCTTTTTTTTTAGAGGGACATTGCTCGCACCGAGTCGAATCGGGAGACTTAAGCCGGCACACGTCTCTCGTTTTTTTGATACCATGGGTATTAAGCTGGGACAAAAATTGGAATTCTTTTTAAAAACCGTGTTCTTTGTCTTGTACGGATTGATGGTTTGATATTGTTCTCTTAGGGGATGTACGGGTTTTTGGAGGATGTTTGGCTCGGGAGGATCGAAGGATTCGAGAGGTTTTGGAATTTTAAATTTGGGAATTGAAGACCCTAATTTTTGTGGGCAGGAATATTGTTAAATTTGTAATCATTAAATTTACAAGGGATGAAGGGTTGATTTTTTAATTCTTTAAATGTTTGCAAGCTCGAAATTGCGAATTTCCAAAATTCCAATTTTTTGAATTTTCAAATGTACAAACTTTTGATTCTAAAATTTCCAAATGCACAAATTTTAGATGAGATGACATAGTAGATACTTGGTGAAGATACAAATTTTGGAATTTGACAAGATTTCAAAAGTAGACTACCAGCGTCACCTATCGTGGAGCGACGTAAATATCTAAGCAGAATAATTTTTCTTTCCCTATATATATCAACCAACACCTGACTTTTATATATTTATTAATTAAATCTGGACACAGTATAAGCATAATATTGCACTGTTTTTATACATCTTTTAAATTCATTTAAATTCGCGCCATGAAAACTGCACTGCTGTCACCATCTAGCGGTTGGCTCTAACATAACCTTCATAGACTTACAAATTTTTTATGTAATAAATCTATAAATTATTACAAGAAAAATTAGCCTTATTTTCTGGGTTTATGTCTTAGACAATTGATAGCTTAAATTGTGTAATTAATTAAGTTAATTAAATTAAGTTTAATTAAGTTAAATTTCATTAAGTTTGACTTAATTATTTCCTAAGGTAGCAACAAATTTAGTTGAATTAATTCAAATTTTAATACTTATTATAATTAATATTTAATATTTATTACATTGATCTAGTTAAATTGTATTAATTTAAATTTTATAATAATTGGTATTAAACTTTAATCAAATTATGCAATTGTACTAATAATAAACAGTCTTGATATATTTATTATTAAAAATTTAATAAGTAAGGTACTAAAAATAAATTTTGCCTTGCTTTATAAAATATTTAATGATACTATAATTTTCCTTCCATATCAATTAATGTAATTAAATTAATTATTGTCTCAATAAATTTTGACAGGATCACAATTAAAACAACCTTTGTATTACTCAGTTTTATTAAAATTACGTAGCAGTATACAGACACTAAGTATACAAAAATTACAATAAAATTAAGTAGAGGTTCTCATAGAGACGGTATGTACAACAGAATATATTCATATGTATATCATCATATATCTAAATATATATATATTTATAAAATTAATATCTAGGCGTACATGTGGTATGCTGTATAAAGAACAACTGATTTTGGACAAGTTAGTTACGAGCATAATCGCCGCCATTTAACGATACAATCTCGAAAGGCATATTTTTTTTTTTGGTTAAACGTGATTTTACACAGATAGAGGAATAAGAAACATAATAATAATAATATTCAGAAAGAAATAACATCGTTAATGATACACACCTGTCCTCGGTAATGCATACGCATTACTACGCTACTTATCTATTGAGCTAAATAAAAAAAAGGGGGGTGAAAAATGTAAAACACGTACTGCTCGCTCTTCCTCGAGTCTGATTCAGCGACGTTGCCGCGGCTTCGTCTCGATAAGAATATTATATTGACGAACACTCGATATTCAATTAGCCGTGACAATTTGAGCGTCAATCGGGTTGATTGATCCGGGGCTAATTGACGTGGACGAAGTGAACGATGCGATGTCGAAAATTTATCAATCGAACTATGATCTCAAGCTTGAAATATTTTTAAACAATTTTTAATTTGATATGTGGAACGCTACGTTAGAGGGACGTTACGTTAGTGGGACGTTCAGTTTGTAAATTTTGAGGTGAGCAGAATTTAATTGGGGGGTAAATACAATTTTTGGGAGGCTTGAAAAAGTGTTGGACACTTCGAGGGTGAATTTTTCGAAGGTGGATTTTTTCGATGGGTAAATTTTTCAAGGGTGGAATTTTCTAGGGTGAATTTTTCGATGGGTGAACTTTCCAAGGTTGAATTTTTCGAAGGTGGATTTTTTCGATGGGTAAATTTTTCAAGGGTGGTCTTTTCGATGCGTGAATTTTTCGAAAGTGGATTTTATCGATGGGTGAATTTTTCGATAGGTGAATTTTTCGATGGGTGAATTTTTCGATGGGTGAACTTTCCAAGGTTGAATTTTTCGAAGGTGAATTTTTTCGATGGGTAAATTTTTCAAGGGTGGACTTTTCGATGGGTGAATTTTTCGAAGGTGGATTTTTTCGATGGGTGAATTTTTCAAAGGTGGATTTTTCGATGGGTGAATTTTTCCAGGGTGAATTTTCCAAGGTTGAATTTTTCGAAAGTGGATTTTATCGATGGGTGAATTTTTCAAGGGTGGATTTTTCGATGGGTGAATTTTTCGATGGGTGAACTTTCCAAGATTTAATTTTTCGAAGGTGGATTTTTTCAAGGGTGAATTTTTCGATGGGTGAATTTTCCAAGATTGAATTTTTCGATGGGTGAATTTTTCGAGGGTGAATTTTTCGAGAATGAAATTATTAAACCTTCCAAGGGTGAATTTTGATAGCTTCAGTACAGCCAACTTTGCAATATACAATATTATTAAAATTTTATTTCAACACTGAATGGAAAAATTATTATCCATCTCTTCAAGGGTGAATTTTTCCTAGAATCCTTGATAACTTCCAATATATTATCAAAATTTCTTCCTTCAAATTTTTTTTAACAAACTACTACACACCCCAGTTTAAGATATTCAAGTCGTTTGAATTTTCAAACAACCCTTATCTAAAATTCAACATCTAAAAACCCCTAAACAGTCAAGAACAAATTTCTAACAATTCAAAGACTCAGAATAATATAAAATAAAATAGCTAACGTAAAGTTAAAATAAATGGTTCAAATATAGTTTTGCTCCCTTTACCTAAAATGTAGAAACTGAAAATCAAAATGGCGAACAGAGAAGTTCGATTGATTTGTTTCGAAAAATCGCATTGAATTTACCACGCAGCGACGAAGCCGGGCAACATGACGAGACCCGCCAAAGAATAGACTAAACAAACAAACAATAACAACAATAATAATAAAATGTCTGCTCTCGCGGGCGATCGCGAGCGGTTCTCGAATCCGCGGGCGATCGGCGCCGTTCACGACTTATGACACTGCGTTCAGTCACGCTTCGATTCGCGTGTAGCCTTTGCGGATAATCACGAAACGTGCTCGAAATTTGTTTGTTATCCTTCAAAATTTCGATTAACATTTTGCAAAAACATATTGCAATTCAATTCAACTCTTCATTATGTTATTTTGCAAACACACCATGCTATATGTTCTCAAATATTGTACATTTTACTGTAATTAAAATTGCAATGTTCTTATCTTAATTACAATTTTGTTATATTTACAATAATTCTTTTTAGAATATTTTGTATATTGTTGCAAATTTGTAATTTTATACAGTATTCACAAAAATATATTTGCAACATAAAATTGTTTATTGCTGAATATTTAAAGATTCATTTTTTGGTGAGGCTGAAAAAATCGTATAATAAAAAGTATCAAAAATAGAGGATGCAAAAAATTGACTGTTAAAAACGAAATGTAAAAAATTTGACTGACAAGAGAAGATGGTAAGAGAAAAATGTAAAATGATTCTCAAATGTAAAAAAATGTAAAAAATGTATCCGTATAATAATATACTATTATTAGTAACTTGAAGCTAATTGAATTAATTTTATGATATAATAATTTCATTATATACAGCTGCATTTTAACTCAAAATTAAATTGTGACGTCATCAGGTTTCATCAAGAAGACTGACCTAAAGTGTTCATAAACACTGAACAATTTAAGCTTCACAATAAATTTTGATAAATTAAAATCAATTTTAATTCAATCAATTTTAATTAATTATATTTTTATCCTCTTTATTATACGACAGTTTAGGTTAGGATAAAATCAAAACATAGTATTAGATACATTTTGCAAAATGTTCATCGACGAAGTACAAGAAAAAAACACTCATAAAATATCTGAACAACGTTTCGAGTCCGCTCCAAGAAACAAAAAGAACAAAGAAGAAGAAGAAAATAAAAACGTGAAAACGACAGTCGGAAAGCTGTAGCTTTCTCTTTCATTGGTTGTATTTTGGCACGGGGATAAGTAACCAGCGCGTCTCTTTGAATCTGAGCTTCTTTGCGATATAAAAAAAGTCCTTAAAGATCAAAAATTTCCGTCGACGGCAAAGAGAGCGCCTGTCGCGATCGAACCGCGTAATCTAAGCACTGAATCAACGTCCATAAATAAATAGAGGAAAGCGTTGCTCACAACGTGAATTTCGTGTACTTTCTTTAAAATAAAAATTTCTTTCTCCACTTATTTTGGGTCCCATCGAACGTTTGTCAATGTCGAGAAAAAAATTTCCTTTTACTTCGAGACGCTTTCCTGTCAATAAATAATCGGGTTTAATTTAACGAGATAGACGATTAAAGCTCTCCCTGATTCGTTCGTCTCGATACCGGCAATCGTTTCGAGAATATTTGAATCGATTGCGTCGATGGAGGGACTCGTTTCCTCTTTTATTAATCGATCTCTGAACATGTGGAGATTACCGTCCAGCGGTCTCGTCCACGATCAATCCGTCGACTGGATCGTTTCCTTTTATTTCGGTTTAATCGCACGATCTTCGATGCCTAGAGAGAGTCGAAGTTCGATTCTCGATCGCTGGTCTGCAACAATCGAACAATAAATTCTATTAATTTAACAGTGGAGACATAGGGATTCTCAGGACCTAGGAATTTTCGGGATATGGGGATTTTTCAGGGTCTACGGATTTTCAGGATATGGAGATTTTCGGAAGAAAGGGATTTTTTGAGATCTAGAGATTTTAAGAAGATAGGGATTTTTCAAAATCTAAGGATTTTAGAGAGATAGGGATTTTTTGATATATAGGGAATGTAGGGGTCAAGGAATTTTCGGATTCTAGGAATTTTTTATCTCTAGGGGTTTTGGAATCTTGGGAATATTGAGATATAGAGAATTTCAGGATCTGTGGATTTTCGGAATCTGGGGGTTTGGGAAATTTTGGGATATTGTGATGTTCAAAATTTATGGATTTTCGGGATCTAGGGAATTTTGGAATCTAAGGAATTTTGGGATCCAGGGATTTTCGATATCTAGGGATTTTCGGGATATGGAAATTTTCAGGGTCGAGGGATTATTCAGATCTGCGGATTCTTGAAATCTAGTTTTTTTAGAATCTAGGGAATCTTGATAGTTTGGGGCTTTTGGAATCTAGGGATTCCTGGATTCTAGGGATTCTTGGATTCTAGGGATTCTTGGATTCTAGGGATTCTTGGATTCTAGGGATTCTTGGATTCTAGGGATTCTTGGATTCTAGGGATTCTTGGATTCTAGGGATTCTTGGATTCTAGGGATTCTTGGATTCTAGGGATTCTTGGATTCTAGGGATTCTTGGATTCTAGGGATTCTTGGATTCTAGGGATTCTTGGATTCTAGGGATTCTTGGATTCTAGGGATTCTTGGATTCTAGGGATTCTTGGATTCTAGGGATTCTTGGATTCTAGGGATTCTTGGATTCTAGGGATTCTTGGATTCTAGGGATTCTTGGATTCTAGGGATTCTTGGATTCTAGGGATTCTTGGATTCTAGGGATTCTTGGATTCTAGGGATTCTTGGATTCTAGGGATTCTTGGATTCTAGGGATTCTTGGATTCTAGGGATTCTTGGATTCTAGGGATTCTTGGATTCTAGGGATTCTTGGATTCTAGGGATTCTTGGATTCTAGGGATTCTTGGATTCTAGGGATTCTTGGATTCTAGGGATTCTTGGATTCTAGGGATTCTTGGATTCTAGGGATTCTTGGATTCTAGGGATTCTTGGATTCTAGGGATTCTTGGATTCTAGGGATTCTTGGATTCTAGGGATTCTTGGATTCTAGGGATTCTTGGATTCTAGGGATTCTTGGATTCTAGGGATTCTTGGATTCTAGGGATTCTTGGATTCTAGGGATTCTTGGATTCTAGGGATTCTTGGATTCTAGGGATTCTTGGATTCTAGGGATTCTTGGATTCTAGGGATTCTTGGATTCTAGGGATTCTTGGATTCTAGGGATTCTTGGATTCTAGGGATTCTTGGATTCTAGGGATTCTTGGATTCTAGGGATTCTTGGATTCTAGGGATTCTTAGGGTCTGAGTACTCTCGAAATTGAAGAATTCTTGGGATGTAAGGATTCTTGAAATCTAGGGATTTAAGAATTCTTGGAATTTAGGGATCTAGGGATTCTTGAAATCTAGGGATCTAGGAATTCTTGGAATCTGGGGACCTAGGGATTCTTGGAATCGTGGAATTGAGAGATAGAAACTAGGGATCTAGGGATTTTTGGAGTTCAGGGATTTAGGGAATACTTAGAATCTACTGTTCCAAAATTGAACCCCCACCCTCCATACACTAATACCAACAATCCCACAAAAAACTTCAAAACTAAAATAACTAGTCTCCAATTGAAACACTTCCAAACACTAAACCCTCCTCAAGAACAAAAGAAAACAAAAAAAGGAACGGAAGTAAGCTTGAATTTCAATAGTAGCATACCCTGTCCGGGCTATAAAGAGGCGGATGCTGGGCCGGAAGTCGAAGCGTGCTGCCCAAATCCCTCTCGGCCATCGTGTGCCCTTCGCTGGCACTGTCTCTGGTGTCTCTGTTGTCTCTAGAATCCTTCACACTGTTTCTTCTGGCATCCGCGACCTTGGTAGGAGGTTGAATGGTAGTTTCCCCGCAAGACCTGGCCAGCGTGGAGCCAGCCTCGCCTAAGTCGAGCCTCAGCAGCTTCGTCGGTGCTTGGATGGTCGTCTCTCCGCAGGATCGAGCCAACGTCGAGCACAGATCACCTTGAAGATCAGCGGTTCTCAACACTTTCGTTGCTGTTTCCACTGTGGTCTCTCCGCAGGATCTGGCTAATGTCGAGTCGGCGTCCATTGTTCGCGTCACGGTGGCTGACACCTTAAGAACAACAGAAATTCACTTTGAATGAAGCTCACGTATGAAGATTTAATATGCTGAAGAGTGTCATTTGGGGTATTGATTGAGATTGTGATGTATGTCACATTTTTAGACTCTGACAAATTTACTAGCTCTTCAGAAACTCTTAATAAATTAACAAATTAATTAACTGTATGAACTGTGTATTTTATTTTGCTGATGTCATTTAACTGTAACTGTACTAAAGAGACTTGTGTGGAAACCTTGAAGAGATTTATGTCTTCCATTTTTTTTCAGAAATTTAGTTTGTAGATTTGTAAAGAGCATTCACTAGAAGAGTTTGTTAGAACCTGAAGAACTTGTTTGTTAGATACTGAAGAGCCTGTTGGTATTATTGTCAGACCCTGAAGAGTCTGTCACTTCATTACAACCCTTGAACATAAAGAACTTATCAATTTGTGCTTCCCAAAAATTTGTTATTCTGATATTTTTTGAAGAACCTATTAAACCTTGAAGAACCTCAAAATTTGCCAGAGCCAATTTGTCAAACCGTGCTTCGCGTAATTAAACACCAGATCCGTTGATTGACAAAGGTTTTTAATGAAGCAAACAGAAATTACCTGGAAACCAGCGCTAACGAGAGCTCCAGTTGGCGCAGCTGGTGCCCTGATCACCTGCACTTCAGCTTCCTTGCAGTCCTTCTGGCTGGAGACGCTTTGCTTCCGGTTTCCGGTGTTGTGCGTGCCGCTGTCGAGGTAATTGAGCAGCTTATGCTCTTCTGTGGAGAAGGTGCTCATGCCGGACTTGTAGTTCTGAGGTGATTGTGGGGCTGATCGATATTTCGCACGTGGGATCATCACTGTTAAGGAACGGTCTCGTTGTTCGTCGCTTACTGGCACTGCTGATGGTAATCAAGGTTATTATTATTTAATTGTAGTATATTCAATGTATTTATACTTTGAATATAATGTAAGAGCGTATAAATAATTTGAGAAGAAAGTTAGGATGATAAGCGTAACATATATCCTATAGTGTAACATACATCATATATTCATTAACATATATTCATTAAAGATGTATAAATAATTTGAGGATAAAGTTAAGGTGATAAGTGCATGGTATATTCATTAAAAGGCAGAAGAAGAATGAAGAAAGAAAAAAGAGAAAAATGAAAAAAATTAAAAAAAGAGAAAAAGACTGATTAAAAAACCCTTAAAGAATAATCCAAAAAGAAGAAGTGAACAAAAATGAAAGAAGACAGAAGAAACCTAAAGAAGAAGAAAAGCCGAAAACGAGAGAAGAAATGAAGAACCCAAAGAACAAACCTGAAGCAGGAACCATAGTAGCCTTCCTCGGCGGATGTCTCGGTTTACCACTGATCTTGCGAGCAGGTCTCTTTGATGGCGGCAAGGGTGCAATCATCTGCGGAGGCGGGGGTAGAACATGGGGCACATGGTGAGGGATCGCCAGATCCGTAACGCTGCCCTCGCTACTGGTGTCTCCTCCAGTTCCAGGAATCATCGCCCTTCGGTCGCCTGTTCTTCGTCTTCGGTTTGGCTGACGGAAACACGCCATGCCCACACAAACTGCCAGCAGGCCCAGCAGTATTGCACCGGTCGTAACCAGCGCTATCAGTAACACTGAAAAGAGATTTAGGAATTTTATATGGCGTCTTGAGTACATAGTTACTTGTCTACATATGTCAGTACATACATACGGTCACTTGTGTCCATATTGTACATATAGTACATACATACAGTCACTTGTCCACATGTAGAACATACATACAATACATACGTACAGTTACTTGTCTACATACATACAATACATACATACAGTTACTTGTCTACACACGTACAGTACATACATACAGTCACTTGTCTACATATATGCAGTACGTACATACAGTCACTTGTGTCTATATACATATGGTACATACATACAGTTATTTGTCCACATATAGAACATACATACAATACATACATATAGTTACTTGTCTACATACATACAGTTACTTGTCTACACACGTACAGTACATACATACAGTCACTTGTGTCTACATACATACAGTACATACATACAGTCACTTGTGTCTATATACATATAGTACATACACACAGTTACTTGTCCACATACAGCATATACATATAGTACATACGTGCAGTCACTTGTCTACATACATACAGTACATACATACAGTACATACATACAGTACATACATACAGTACATGCATACAGTTACTTCTCCACATACAGTACATACATACAGACACTTGTCTACACACATACAGTTACTAATATCTTATAATCAATATTCTAGGCTGTAAGTTTACCACTTTGTGTGTGTACCTTTGAGGTTAACTTGACAACGTTGACCACTGTGCCAAGGGAAGCACTCGCACACTTCTTGACCATTCGTGTTGGTGACACAGTGTCCTTTGTTGTTGCAGCTGGGACATCCCAAAGGAGCCTGAGAGCAAACTCTTCCTGGGTACATAGGATTCTCTGATAGATCGGCCCATCCCTCTTTGCAGGAGCACTGGTACGAGCCACGGAGATTGAAGCAGGCTGCGTTTGCAGAGCAATCGTGGTATGGTCCTCCCTCTTCTGTTGAGCATTCGTCAAAGTCGACTGCATCGATCTGAAATATGTATTGAGTTTGTAATGGATAAGTCAGTTTTCTAGAACTGCTATTATAGAGGTAACTGTGTGATAAGTATGTCTTTCAAGTTGATAATGCGACCCATAACTTTGGTAATTGTACTTTGATACAATTTATGATACAGAGTCACACAGACTAATTGAAATGAGTTCCAGTTTGACTTCATCAAGTTTATTCAATTTAATTATTTGTTTCTATAGTCTGATTACTTATTGATGATTTAAGTTGCCTAATAATGGGAAGTTGTTACTCACCACATCAAGGTTCTTCGATGCATACACCTCCGTGCCTCCCAAACTGTAATTACTGCTGATCAAATACTTCCGAAGGACCTCCTTCAACCTGGTCTCATTAGCATTATCACTGAGCTGAACATGGAATTGCACTTTCGTAGGGTCCGGAGTCAAACCAGCTATATTCAATCCCCTATAAATATCCCTCAAGTCGCTCTGCATCAGAGTTCGATCGAGAGCGTCTTTGATTGGCCCTAATAGTCTTCTATAGGCAGTGGAGTCATTGACGCTGGCTTCGTAGTTAATCGGCTCGTGACCAATGCGATCGAGACCGACTCGTAATGTATAGGTATATGTAGCTGCAGAGGAATGAAAGATTAATTAGGAATAAAGGAACGAAGATTAATTTTTGAGAAATCAATACTGTATACTCTAAAAAACTAGTGTTCTTACGTTTGCAAGGTCGATCAGGGAACATCCTCGCGAAACCTGGTCGACAAATACATCTCATTTCGGTTCCAACTTCTATGCACATCTCGGCCCTGGAGGCTCTGCATTCGGGTGCGCATTGGTTGGATATGGGCTGAAGGGACACCACAGGTGCGCCGAGAACACCTCCTGCAAGGACTCTGTGCACCTCGTTTCCGACGGGGTCTTGTTCGTCTCTTGATATGTCGTCACCGTATTCTGCTTCCACCTGTGAGGAAATTTATAATAAATTTTGATGAGAACGGTTATTCAGATCCATAAGATTGGGATTTAGGTAAGGCAGTTATTTGGATACACATCGTTAGGATTCAGGTAAATAAGTTACTTGGATCCAAGTCATTAGTATTTAGATAAAATATTCACATTCACATCATTCAGATTCCAGGTCAGTTAAGTACCCAAATCCACATCATCAGGATTGAGGTAAATTAATTAAATGAATCCACATCGTGAGGATTTAGTTAAGGTAATCATTCAAATCCACATCTTCAGTATTCACATAAGTCAACCATTCAAATTCACATCATCAGGATTCACATAAGTCAACCATTTAAATCCACATCATCAGATTCACATAAGTCAACCATTTAAATCCACATCTTCAGGATTCACATAAGTCAACCATTTAAATCCACACCTTCAGGATTCACATAATTCATCCATTCAAATCCACATCACCCAGCTCTAACCCTACACCACAACATAAAACTACAACTGATTCTTAATCTCACCTCTTCAGCTCCAGGCGCAGGAGGCTTCTGATCACTCATCACCACAAAGATAGAATCATTATCAACCACATTCTCGTACGACGAAGGTATCCTGGTAACAACGGACTGCAGAATGGTCGACGTGACCGTAGAAATCAAGCTTGTTGGACGTAACAGTGTTTCCGTTACGGTCTCCACAGTAGTAGATGTCATTGTATGCGTGAGAAGAAGAGTTCGTGTGGTCGGTGGTGAACCTAGGACCGATGTTTCCGTTCTAGTCACTGTAGATGTCTGGAATCGGGTAACCTAAGTGTAAGAAGTCGCACTGAGCAAGAGAAGTATATACACAGAAACTATAAAGAAAGATGCGTGCGAATGTGAGAATAGGTTGAGATTAGATAACAGGTGACAAGTGGTAGGACAAGTTATAGTGGTTAGACAAGTGGAATAGGACCGCAGGAAAGTAGAATACATAACTTCGTGCGTGATTAGATAATTAGGAGACCGAATCAAATAAGTGAAATAAGACCTTGATTATGTGACCATAACTAGTCAGATAAGTAAAAGTTCACAGTGCAACGAGGTGACAGGATGGTTTCGTTAAATGCAAGATGGTAGAACACAAAGTAAGTAAAGTAGAACCAGATATAGTCAAACAAGTGGTCAGACAAGTGGTGTTAAATTCATGGTGGGCAGACAAATGATAGACAATAGGTAGTCAGACAAGTAGAATAAAGAAAGAGGAAAGGAAAGGAGTAGTATGAAATACCACTGACGACATAAGTATCATAGGTATCGTGTGATCAGACAGATTGTTCAAGTTGTAAAGAGTAAGACAAGTGAAAACAGATTTTAGGTAGTCAGACAAGTAGTGAGGGATGTGGTCAGACAAGCTTCAGTAGATTGTAGGTGGTAAGACAAATAGTGATAGATGTGGTAAGACAAATGTTAGTAGATTGTAGGTGGTAAGACAAGTAGTGAAGAACATGATAAGACAAGTGGTAGTAGATTGTAGGTGGTCAGGCAAGTAGTGATAGACGTGGTCAGACAAGTGATAGTAGATTGCAGGTGGTCAGACAAGTAGTGATAGACGTGGTCAGACAAGTGGTAGTAGATTGTAGGTGGTAAGACAAGTAAAAGTAGATTGTAGGTAGTAAGACAAATGGGAGTAGATTGTAGGTGGTCAGACAAGTAGTAGTATTAGTCTATAAGTGGTCAGACAAGTGATAGTAGATTGTAGGTGGTCAGACAAGTAGATTAAGAACATAGGAAAGCAATCAATACACAGCTTAGGTGATCAAACACTATACTATATCTAGGTGATCAGACAATAACTACAAACTACATATGATCAGACAAGTGAAATAAGACCATCAGTAAAAATAAACCAGTATTATTGAACCACCAGTACTCAGATAAGCAAAATACCAACCTGAAGATAGATACATAATCCAAAGTAGAACACGATCAGATAAGTGATATGAAACTATACGTGATTAAGCAAGTAGTGGAACTAAACCCTGATTATAAATGTGAGTTTACCACCTGCCTAATAAAAAAAGTACACTCAGTACTCAAACCATACCTCTTTCGGTTTCGTGCGCATAGTGGTAGAGGCATTAGCAGCTTTACGCACAGTGCTACTGACACTGCTCTTCGTCATCTTGATTATCGATCCATTTGTCCTCTCACTGTTCCCCAACAATGTTCCAGTTACTTTCACGATCGAACTGTCAGTTCTAACCACCACAGTGGGTGAATTCTTCACACTAGTCTCGTTTAACTTCTTCCGTTCCGTTGTGGATGCTACAACCAGTTTCGTTTTCTCGTCCTTCGTCATCGTAGGACGAGGCTCCTTCTTCTGAGAGGTGACTACATGAGTCAGACTTTCCGTGGGTTCCACCTTGGTCGACGGTAAAATATTATCGTAACTAGACTCCAGGAAGACTGGATGCTCCGGACGTTTCACTGGATTTCTAGGAATCTCAAAGGTCTGCGACCTAGTTGGTTCAACCTCTCGACTCGTCGATGAAGATCTGCTAGGTTGAATGTGATTCACCTGCAGTGGCCTCAACTTCGTTGGGATCACCATGTTCGAGGACAGCATGGCAGTTGGTTGTACCGATATTCTGCAAGATTTGACGTGACAAGAGAGTCGTTCGGTGACTTAGAATAAAAGATCAGTACCTGGACACTGGCCTGGTGTCAAAGGGTCTCACGGTGTAGATGCTGACGTGCTCCGTCATCCTAGTCTCAACCGGTCTGAGGATCTCTGGCACATCCACGACGACTGGTAAATCGACTGTGCCGTGTATGATCGGAATCTTCGATTCCATGTCCTGGACCACTGGGATGTGCGAAGTTGCCACTGCTGTTGCAATCTGAATGGATCCAGAAACTGCAACTGCGGGTCTGACTGTGGCAATTTCGAGGGGTCTGGTGGTCTGTGTTGCTGGGGGTGGTGGTACCATGTCCTGCAACATACAAAAACCATAATAAATAAATAAGATTTGCCTGGGTCATCCTAGTTTGTTCAGAACTCGAGTTAGCTCAAATCAAAGTTAGCAGAACTACCTATGAAGCAATTGCAACATGTCTAAGCAAAGTCTATACAATTTAAACAATATCTGAACAATCTTCAAATAAGTTTCAAAGCTAAATTCACCTGAGACAGTAGTTCCACGATGAAGGGTCTAGCAACAGACGGTCTGGGACTAGGTGGAACCATGCTAACACTAGGTAGAGGCGCCACAGTTGACTCCTTCAGAGGAATATACTTAGGCGGAGGCTTCAAACCAGACTCGTTCGCGACTCCAAACGAGAACCTATCCTCCGTAGGTCTGCTAGTTGTGGTAATATCAACAGGAGGTGGTGACAAACCGACGACATCTCGCGAAGGTATGGGTGGTGGTTTCAAACCCTCTTCCTCGTTCTTCGACGGATTCGAGCCAATAGGCCTCAGGGGTGGTGGCATCATATCTCTAGAAGGCACACTCATTCCCTCCATGCTGCTCAACATGTCGGTAGACGTTTCAGCAGGACGAATCCTAATGTTAGAGTCTCCTTGATTCGCGTCTGACAACGCGAAGTTAGTCTGATAGGACGTTTCGAGAGACTCATCGTTCTTCGTGTCAGTGTCACTCTTCGTGATCAGCATGCTGGGTGGTCTTTCAGTCTGGGTCTTACTGTCCACTTCCTCGCCCATCGCCTCCACGGGCATGGAGAACCTTATGTTAGGTCTTTCAGGCTTGCCAGAAGAGATGGTAATCGGTCCGGGTACCTGAGGCTTGGGTTTGGTGATGATGTGAGGGTACTCAGGATGGATCCTTGTTCCCTGTCCATAGTCCGGTTGGGTCACCGTAGGTCGACTGTTCTCTGGAATCCCCATGTCCGACTGGGGGAACTGCTCTTCAGGATAGGGAGTCGTACTGTTCCTCAACTGAGTTTTCGTCTCATTCCTGTTACTCTGAGTCTCCGAAACCTTCACACCACTGTCCCAGTTCAGATCTACGAATCCACCCAACTGCAGGTGGCTCTGGTTCACCTTGCTACCCTGAGTCTCGTTCGTGGAGGACTCCAGACCTGGCTTGTCTTCAATCCTCTGATCTGGCCTAGCTTCCTGAGGGACCTTCGGTCTAGGGTACGAAACGGGTCTAGTTTCCGGTTTACTCGGTCTGGGATAAAGTCTGCCAGGTTTGTCGGAGTCGGGCATGAACTGAGGGATGATGGCTGGTGGCTTCAGATCTATGGTGTCATCCCGTTCATGGGGCTGTGGAGTGGACGTGTGTTCACCTCGCTGCTTCTTGTGACCCGGTGGCTTCTGGGTACCGTAATACGTCGAGGGTACACCCTGCACTATCTCGTAGTCAGGTTTTCCCTCCTTCAACTTGTAGCCGTAAGTCATTGCGTCCTCATGGCCACTGTAAACCCCAAATGGCTTTCCTTGCACTATCGGCATCTCCTGAAGCTTGGTATTGTAATAATTCGGTCCGTACGGTACTTGGGTTGACGTAGGAACATTTTTGTGGGTAAAAGGCGCTCCCTGATTCAACCACGCAGGTTTCTGGTTTTGATGATCCACCTGTTTCGATCCTGTATATGTGTTCTTAGTTGAATTACTTTGACTAACTGCCTCCTCGTTCGGTTTCTCCTTTTGAACCTCCTTTGTTGGATTGTGGTATTTCACCTGCTCCGAGGCTTCACCTTCGGAATCCAAGGTCTTTTCAGTCTGACTGCCACTCTGCCACTCTGGCTGTCCTTGATTGGGCGGCTGATCAAAGGTCTGATGCTGACTGTTCACTGGTTTTGTGGGTTCTGGTTTTGTCTTGGGTTTGGAGGGATTGTGGTACTCTATCGCTCCTGTTGGTAGATGCTCTTCCGTTTGAGGTCTCACTGGAACCACGTTAGGTCGTTTGTTCTCAGGGTAGAAGTGCAGTGGTCTGTCTTGGACGTCTACGTGCTGAAAAGACAATAATCTTTGTATTTCACCAGATTGCATTTCATAGGTAGCAGAGGTAGCTTATAAGAAGATAGCCTAAATGACAGTTAGAGTAAGGTGGACCAACATAACTAAAGATAATTATTTACACCACCTACATGGCTCTTGAAAACCTTTTACTCACCTGAGGACGAGATCCAAACGAAGGTTGCCTCTCAGTCACCTCCTTCACGTCCGGCTTCGACGTCGTCATCCTAGGTGGTTCATGATGAATCTGCGGATTCGTCGGTGGTCTATGAGGCAGCACAAATGTATTCTGGTTCTTCACCGGGGGTCTCTGCGACCCGCTATACACAGGCTTCCTCACGTTAGGCCTCTCAACATATACAGGTCTATCCAAAGGACGACCAGTAGTAGTCCTCAGAGGAGGACGCGGTCTCATTCTATTATTCACCAAAATCCTCGGCGGTTTCTTGTCCTTCCAATTGGTATTCAAAAGTATTTCATTCCCAGAGTCCGGCTTCGCCAACAGAATATATCGATGAGCATTATCCGATGAACCAGACATCTCCGTCCTCCTCGGTGGAGTATTTGGGTCTGCAGGCTTCGGTAGCTTCGGATATTGACCTCTCGGTGGTAAATGATTGTTGGACAGAACGTGAGACGGGTGTGGTACACCCTGTGGACGAATGTTCACCGTTTCCGGCCTGTGGTGCACCAGGATCTCCGTGTGCACGTGTCCTTGACCACTTAGGGTACCTGAACCGTCGTGTTTGATCAGGTGCACGTCCGATGGCTTTTTCTCGGGTCTTCCTGGAGCTTCTAACTTGTCCTGCGGTCTGTCGTACTCGAAACGACCTGGTGACAGTGGGATCACTGGACGGTTGTGCGAAGGGTGCTTGTCGAGCTGGGGCTTGAAGTTCAGAGGTGGCGATGGTGGGACCATGTAGTCTGCTGGGTCCTTTCCGTTGGAATACTGCGGCAGGTCCTCCACCTAAGTCATATCAATTTATTTAATTTCTGTACTATTGCTATATTATTCTAATTATGTCGGTACTATTTTAAGTTCGACTATTCAAATTTCTATAAATTAACATCGCAATTACCCTTTGAATTCCAACGAAACCCAATCCAACTTCCGACTCAGGATACGGAGATGGATCGTCGAAGTATTGTCCACTGATATGTGGTTCACTCGTGTCACCGAATATCAAAGCTTGAGTCCCACCCTGAGGAATCACCACATTGGCCACCTGGCTGGGTTGAATGTTGACCAGCAATGGTTGTCCAGTTGATCTGTCGATCACGTGTGGTACCTGATGAACTATTGGCTCCGCGGGTTTGGGTTTGGGTTCGGAACTTTGAATGACGATGGAGGTGTCGGGGAGCAGAGGATCCCTCTGGGCCCATGGTGGTCGTTTCTGGTCCTCGGAGAGAAGTGTGGGCCATGGTTTCTCTAGCGGTGGCTTTACCGAGTCGATCTTCTGAAAAAGTCATAGATCTTTCGTTCATTTGTTCTTAAATTTGCTGATTTTCTACATCAATAGGAACTATAGCATCCTCAGATGAATCAGACTTGCTCCTAACTTAACCTAACCGTACCTGATCGAATTGAGGATGTGGTGGAGACAGTTTCAAAGGATCCTTAGCGCTCCAAGGTCTCCTCGGCTTCTCCGGACTCCACTCAGGCTCGTTCAGCTTCAAGTTCGGATTAGCGTACTGCTCAACGTTAGGTCTATCCGGAGGTTTCAACAAAGGATCATTTTCCATAACATCCTGTTTCGAACCCATCCTCTTAGGCGGCGACTGAATAGTATGCAACTTCTGAGGCTGTTTAGGTATCAAACCCTGATTCGTGTCAATAGGCATCGACACAGGTATCTTCAAATGCTCCTCGTATACTTGATGAGCTGGATATATCTGTATCTGAGGTCCCTTGTGACCCTGAAGAGTTTGTTGCGGCTTAGAATCGTCTCGATCGTTCTCCAGAACTTCCAGAACCGGGTGTACCGGTATATTTGGTACTGGCAATGGCGGTGGCTTCATACCGATGTGCTCTTCGTCCTCTAAGAACGTCTGGGGTGGTCTGGGCGCCATTTTTCCGGGTTTGCCGATGATCACGTCGCTGTTTGCTGTGATCACTTCTCCTGGAGAGATCGGAATACCGTCTGCTAGGCTGGAGGCCACTTTATGACGAGTCTCGATGTAATTGTGGTTTAGGTTCGCCAGATGAGTACCTTGAAGACGAACACATCGTTAAGTAAATTCTATATTTCGGTTGATTTTTGTTGAAATTATCTTTCAGCTGTTTTTTTTAGATAAAAAATTATCTTTCAGCTGTTTTTTTTAGATAAAAAATTATCTTCCAGATGATTTTCTAGATAAAATATTATCTTCCAGATGATTTTCTAGATAAAATATTATCTTTCAGATGATTTTCTAGATAAAATATTATCTTTCAGATGATTCCTCAGATAAAAAATTATCTTCCAGATGATTTTCCAGATAAAAATTTATCTTTCAGCTGATTTTTCAGATAAAAAATTATCTTTCAGCTGATTCTTCAGATAAAAAATTATCTTCCAGTTGTTTTTCAGATAAAAAATTATTTCTATATCATATGTCCGACCACAAAAGTCATGTTTCCTTATGATGGTCAACATGTTAATAGCTGGAGGGTGTAGTTAATTACACAATAGTGCGATATCGAATCGTTACGTAGATATTAGTGAAAACGAAGTATAGTTTACAGGAAAATGTTAAGTGAAACTAGCAGGTATTTCCTTACCAATATTCTGGCTTTCAGCAGCCTCTATATCGCCATCGGCGAACTCGGCCACAGGAATGTAAATCGGCGACCTCTGAGTCGTTACTTCCTGAACTTCCGCTTGCGGTATAGTGTCGTTTCTCCGGGTTGCCGACGTCTTTCCTTGAAGCAAACCCGCCATCGCGGTGATAACCGGCCCCAGGGCGGACAAACTATTGATTCCTAAAGATCCGAGACTGAGCAGGTTGCTCACTTGGAGATCGCTGTTATTCTCATTAGCTGGCTTCTTGTTTTGGATGGTCTCTCCGGAGGATGTCACATTTTGCTCCTAAAATAAAGATCAGAGATTCTAACCCTGGAACACACACCTGTCTAGATGCAGTACATAGAGTATTCACGAACTGATTGTTATTTAAGTAATAAAATTTTAGTTTTTCATAAAGTAAGACTGAAGTTATGTTTGATTACCTGACTGATCTGTTCAGAGGGCTTCAAATTCGATTCGCTGACAACAGAGGACGCTTCCGTGGACACCAAACTTGCTGAGACCGCTTCATCGTTTTGGGTTTCGATTGAAGAGGTTGCTTCCAGGAAACTGCTGGTTGTGGTAGGATCTATTTGATCCTCTTCATCGAAGAAAATAATGGTCGATCCTGTAACGACGTTTTTCACTGGATCAGAGTGGTGTGCGGTGGTCAGCAAAGCGTTCATGTAGCCAGCGTCCAACAAGCTTGGTGCTATCGATTCGGTGACTACGTTTTCTACGATGTGGGACCTGGAGGAGACCGTTGTCGAGGTTTCTCCATCTGGTCCAGCCTGTAATGTTTCACATATTACAATTTTGCAATGTTTAATTTGCATTAAAATAATTACCTGAAGTAGCGTGGTGAAGTAAGTGAACGTCGTCAAATAGGTTTTCGTGGCAAAAATTTGGATCGGTTCCGGAGTAGGGTTGACCAGGGTGGTCTTCGTGGTCGTCTTCTTGACAGGCACTTTCTCCAGCACCAAATCGGTCGATGTCGCAACGTTCGTTCGAACTACGGTGCTGCCTTTCTCTAGGAAGGTGTTATAGTATGTATAGGTGATATAATAAGTCTTCATCACGTCGGTCATGCTCTCCTCCGTGCTGTCCAGAGCTGTTAACGTGGTGGTCACGCTGGTTGGTCGGGGTGGTGGTGCAGATTCTGTGACTATCAGCTAAAAAGATTTATTTATTATTATTTAATACTAACTTATTTATTAATTTACTATTATTAATTCACTTTACTACTACAAAAATATTTCAAGATTCCACAAAAAATTTAACAAATAACTACCTTCTCCACATCACTTCTTCCTGTATCATACTTTCATAACATTCCCACCATAAATTTCCCAACATGACCCCATACTTTCACCAGCACACATAACCTTTACTACCCATTCTCCAATAACCTCTACATCGAAAATCGTCTGAAATATTAACCTGAGTAACAGTGTCACTGGTAGTTTCGATTCTGGTTCGTCCATCCTCCATGAAAGTCTTCTCCAACATCCTGGTACTGAGATACGTGTTCGTTTCCGGTCGCGGTGCTTCGGATGGCTCGAGGATCATGTGAAGATAATGCTGAGGAGCGGTTACCGTGTTCGTTATCACCTTCGTGCTGCTCTCTAGAGCATCGTTTACGTTCGAGTGATCGGTGTTCAGAGTTAAGTAGGTGTAGGTCGTCTTGAACACCTCCGTCCGGAGAGTCGGCGACGCGTCTAGGGTTACTGCTGCGGTCTCTGAACCTGGTTTCCTGTGACGTTCTTCCGTCGCTGTGTTGGCTATCACCTTCAATTATTTCAAGTTTGAGGTAAAATTATGTGGAAACGATATTCAAGTATTATGAAATTTAAAAATTTTTGACACTATTTTATCTGTTTGGGGTTAGGTAAAATTAGGACACGTTAACCTATTAGGTTAGGTTATGACTAGATTATAATTAGGTTATGACTAGGTTATAACTAGGTTGTGATTAGATTAGGTTTTGCAAGATTTGTTACATTATAGTTTAGCTAGGTGTAACTTTCGGTTAGGTTCAGTTAGGATCAGTTAATTCAGGTTAGGTTAGATTAAGTTAGCTTATGTTGTGGTTTAGCTAGGTGTAGCTTAAGGTTAGGTTCAATTAGGACCAATCAATTGAGGTTAGGTTAGATTAAGCTAGCTTATGTTGTGGTTTAGTTAGGTGTAGCTTAAGGTTAGGTTCAGTTAGGACGAGTCAATTGAGGTTAGATTAAATTAAGCTAGCTTGTGTTATGGTTTAGCTAGATGTGGCTTAAGGTTAGGTTCAGTTAGGACCAATCAATTGAAGTTAGGTTAGATTAAGCTAGTTTATGTTATGGTTTAGTTAGGTGTAGCTTAAGGTTAGGTTCAATTAGGACCAATCAATTGAGGTTAGGTTAGATTAAGCTAGTTTATATTATGGTTTAGCTAGATGTTGCTTAAGATTAGGTTCAATTAGGACCAATCAATTGAGGTTAGGTTAGATTAAGCTAAAAGTAGATTGACGTTAGATTAAATCAAGCTGGATCGTCTCAGGTTAGGTTAGATTGAGGTGAATGATCTCAGGTTAGATCAGATTAAGGATCATTTTGAGTTAGATTAGATTAAGGATGATTTTAAGTTAGATTAGATTAAGGATCATTTTATGTTACATTAGATTAAGGATCATTTAGATCAAGTTAGTTCCATAAACGTGTCTAAACAGTAGACAGCAAAATATTATTACCTGTTGTTCCGTGGAAACGGTAGTTGTGCCGTCCTTGGTGATCGTAGTCAGATACGTGAACGTGGTGGTACACGTCTTGGTGACAAATTCATTGGGCTTATCTTGAGGAAGCATCATGACAACCGTGTCGGACAATGTCAGCGTAGGTTGAGGTATAGAATTCTCCCATCGTAATGCCGGCGTTGGACCGGCAACGATCACCTCGACTCCATTCGACATCACGCGAGTAGCTAAGTTGAACCTTCGGCCTTCCTCATCTTTCGCTTCGTATTCTCCTGTCGTGTTACAATTCCACAAGTGAAGCGATTACAACAGAGTCACGTTTTCGCGTCTGACAATGTACACGGTTTACCTGAACAATCTAGAAACTGTACAGCTGTTCGTACTATTCGGACGTCCGAACACTGATCACACTTTCAGAGTACAGAGGAGTATTCGACAGAAAAAAAATGTACAGAGCAGACGAAAAATACGAGAACGGAAAATCCAGTATGTACATGTTCTTCATTTACAGGTATATACACTTCTATTGTACAGGGAACAATTTCGACCGCCATAAGCCAATTTGAAGTGAGACAAGTATGTACAGTCTCGAGGGGAGAGAGAAGTTTCTATTAGTCTAAAGAATATATTTTACATGGATCGTCGTGTGGCCCGAAATATTTTATTGCCACTTTGATGGATTACTCTTTCATTTGATATTTCAGATTTCAAAATTTTATGAGATAAAATTTAACAAGACTGCTATACACAAGTTTGGCAACATAGTCCATATCACCACATCTGAAATTCACAATCCGTCACGTATCATGCTTATCATAGTTGTTGATCATTCAATCTAATCAGCTTCGGGCCACACGTCGATCGTCATAGAAAATGCTCGGACAGCCGGCGTGGCTACTCACCAGCAACAGGAACTGGACTATACACAGACGACGCGGGTTTCGTTGTCTCCACGGTAGGAGTGACAGTCACCGTGACGGGCACCGTCAACGTAAGGGTCGTCACTCTGGGTCTGACGGTCGTCGAGGATGTCACTTTCGTCTCCAGTCCGTTCAGTTGCGTCACCACGTACGTGTACGTTCTCATGCGTGTCGACGTCACGATCGTCTCGGTATAGTAAACGCTCGTGCTGGGTTCAAGGTCGGGCGTGGAAATCGTTTCGTGCACGTCGGCGATCGGTTTCGAGGGTAAAATCTCGGGGAAGTCCGGCCTCGACAGGGACAGATATAGGTCGTCGGCTAAGCCAGCCTCGATGTCCTCGGGCGTCGGCGACGTGATCGATGTCGTCACCTTCGACTCGAGGCTGGGAGTGACTTCGAGGACCATGGAGGTCCTCTGCGTCTCTGGAGAGGTGTAATCGACCTCCAGGGGGATCACGCTGGGTATTTCGGTGTCCTCGAACGAGGCGGAGGATTCGTGGGACGTCGAGCGGGACGTCTCCAGAGGCAGAACGCTAGCGAATGTGGAGGAAGAGAGTGAAGAGGTTTCTATCGGTTGCACCGTTAACGCTCCTTCCTTCTCTTCTAACTCCGGAACTGGAGTATTCACACTGGAGATTTCAGTGTGTTCAGGGTGTTTCGAAGTCTTGATTTCAGTCTGTGTTTGAGGTTCGATCTTCTTCATGGAACGCTCTGAATCCTTCTGAGTTATCAAATCTCCTGAGGACGTAGTAACTTCAGATGTCTTCGAATCTTCAAGTTCCTTCGACGAACTTTCAGATTGAGTTACTGTAACTTTAGGTTCAAGCTCAGGAGATTCTTTGCTATTAGACTCAGTCTGAGTTACACTAGACTCAACCTTCTTATTGGAGTCCTCAGGTTCTTCCAATGTACCTTCAGACTCAGTTGGTGCGTCTGTTTCTTTTTCCTGGGAAGCTTCAGTAGTTGAAATGTCTTCTTCGGTTGAAATTGTTGTAGTTTCAGGCTGAGTGTCTTCTTCGGTTGATTCTTCACTGTACGATTCAGTTTGAGCTTCAGTTTCTGATTCTGGGTAGTCAGTACTGTGAGATTCTTCTTCTTCAACAGTTGTTGTTTCCTCGTCAGTGGATGTAGTTGTCTCAAATTGTTCTTCAGAAACGTCTGCGCTGGTTGTTTCCACTGACTCAACTGTTGTATGCTCTTCTTCTTCTTTTTCTTCCTGTTTTTCTTCTTCTTTTTCTTCTTGTTTTTCTTCTTCTTTTTCTTCTTGTTTGTCTTCTTCTTTCTCTTCTTCTTTTTCTTCTTCTTCCTCATATTCAGGATACTTAGTGGTCGGAGCTTCATCTTCAACCTTATCCTTCTCCGATGTAACCGACTCAATCGCCTTCATGGTCGTCTCTTCAGACTTATCAGTTTCAACACTCTCCGTCGTAGTTTTTCCTCTTTCAGCTTCTGTAACTTTATCTGAAATCTCTTCAGGCTTCGACGTTGTTGAAGGAATCTTTCCACTTTCAGTCGTATCCGAGTACTCTTCGTACTCATACTCATCATCAGACGGTGGGAAGAAGAAGTTATCAGTAATAATCACCGGTTCATCCGTGGTTGTTTCTTCGACTACCTTCACCGTAGTGTCCTCCACCTTATCTTCAGTCTCTAACTCTTCGGGTTTGCTGTCGATAACGTTAGGCGGTTCCTTCAGCTCCGGAGTGACGGTGGAAGTGACATCTTGCTTCTCTTCCTCGTCGTCTTCCTCTTCGGTGTACTCTTCATCGTACTCGGAGGACGCGGTGAAGAAGCCGGTGGTGATGATAGCGAAACTGGGCGTCGGTTGAACGGGTCTGACAGCGACCAGCTTCTTCCTGGTGATTCTAGCCTTCTTCTCGGTGGTCGTTGGCGTGACAGACTCGAGTTTTCTTCTTCTGGTTATGGTGACTTTATGACGTCCAATCTCTGGGCGGAAACTTTCAGGCTCCAAATCGCTCTGTATCGAGTTGGCCAAACCCAGAGTCCTAACTCGAGTCACCACGATTCTTCGTGGCGTGTGACTGGCTACCGTTAACGAAGGAGGCTCTTCGGTCCTGGGTGCCAGGGGTCGGCGTCTAACAACAGTCAGTTTGTGCTGTCGTCCGTTCTTTCTGACCACGGGTACGCGTATTCTGACTCGTTTTCTGGGCGTCTCTTCGGGGTAGTCGGCGCCAGGCTCGGTCAGAATCCTGGACGACCAACTATCGGTTCGCCCGTGCACGTAATCGGGGTTGCCTAGCTGGTAGTCGTGAGGATAGTCATCTGAAAAGACGACGTTCTCGCTGTGTCAGGGGTGAGATAATCCTCGCCGCGTGTGGATTAGATTCTACGCACACGGTGGACGGGGCGGTCGTCGAGTGTGTTAAGCGTCCGGCGAAAGGGCGGGTAGGTGGGTTAAACAACATTGCCAGATCAGACATTCCATCAAACGTGGTTTCGTGCACTTAGTAGCGGTTACTCATCGCGCGGTGTGCATATACTGCGCCGTTGTCCGGACAAAAACAGAGAGAGGTACCATGCGTTGAGATTCATTGTTGTCGTGTGGGCGCGCGTGCGGCGGCGGATTCAAGGCTGTGTTAGTACGTGGACGTAGTAGAGGAGGATCCGTTCGGGTGGGGAGAACAGAGAAGAGAAAAAATGGGGGAGCGAACAGGACGTGTGACGGTGATCGAGAGACAAGACGTGGGTCTCGATCAACCGAAGCTGCGAGCTTTCCACGGTTCTCGGAGACGACGTGGTCCTCTGGAAGGACCGTCCCCGAACACTCGCTATATTACACGGACAGCAGTCGCTGTGAAACGCGGGGACGGACGCGTGACTACCGGCTTACTACGGAAAGGTCGTCAGCTTCGATCTAGGTGGGCTTTCATGAGTGGCGATGGACTTAATCGAATGATAACGGTTAGAGGGGCAGAGAGAATGATTTATGGGGGGAGGTTCTAACGTAACGCGGAAGGAGGGGTTAGGTACGGATGGACGTGGAAATGTGCCGTCCGACGTCACCCACTACGCTCTCGAGACTCTGTGTCGGCGCGTGTGCGTCCATCGAGTCCTCGCTACTCGCTAGAACAGGGATCTCCGATCCCGCGTGCAGCGAGGGCGGGATCGAAGCCCGGACCTCCGCGTGCGTATCCTCCCCGATATCCCTTCGTCTCCTGGAGGAGCTGACCGCGTCGCTCACTTTGACGGTGCTCAGAACGGTGCTGAACTCCCCTGGCCTACGACCGGACACGTACAGAGTCACCACGCTGGACTCTTCCTTGTGGCTGCTCGAGTGATCTTCCTTCTTCTCGTACTTGCCGCGGCTGTTGCGCGGCTTGGAGATCTTGGACGGTTTGGCGGATTTCTGGTACTCCTGCACGTCGTCGTCCTCTCCGGAGTACTCGTAGCTGTCCTGTTTGTAGTCCGAGTCAGCCGGCTGGTGCCTCCTCTCGACCTCACCTGGCAGAGTGTTGCTCTGGGTGAAGGGAGGCGCCGCGAACACGGGATCCAGAAGAGGATTCGAGTTCTTCGGAGACTGAGGTTGCTGGAGGAGCAACAGCAACGAGTTCAGGTTGGCCGCTGGCAGAGCAGCCGTCGGGGTCACCACCACCGTGTCCGTGATGAACTCTGTCGCGGTGACCACGTTGGTCGAGGTGTCCACCAAGGTCGTCAGGATCTCTTTGCCGCGGAACGTGAGCGGAATCACGGTGCTCTGTTGCTTGGTGATGGTGGTGACGTAGGATGTGGTGCGCGTATTGTACTGGGTGGACGGTGTGCCCTGCGGCTGCAGGAGGGGGTTTGCCTGACCTAACTGACCGAGAAGCAACTGCGACAGTAGGATGTTCGCGAGAGGAGCGTTTTCAGGTATGGAGGGCTGTATGGTGGACACTACGTTCTCTACGGAGTACACGGTCGTGGGTACGATCACCGATTGCGAGGCTCTGCGACCTCCTAGGGTGGTCAGCGTGTGGGAGACCCGGGTGGTGGGCGTCTCGTGTAACAAGAATCGAGTTACCTCGGTTTGACCTTGCAAGTTTGTACCCGTGACTTCGCTAACGATCACTACCAGCGGCCTGCCGTCCCCACCTGTCACGGTACTGTACTGGGAGGGAGCCAACACCTCGGTGCTGGCCTGAGCGGTTATGATATTTCTCTGTTCCGTAATGCCGTTATTTACAACGGGGATCGTCACCTCGGTGGGCACGTAATGGGTCACCGTGATAGTCCCGTCAAAGTCTGGGTAAACGGTGGGTGATTCCCTAATGTCCTCGCGGGAACCTCGAGGCCTCTGCGAGGAGGATCCTCGTTTGCTACCGTTCCTACTCGACGACCTCGAAGAAGCACGAGATGGCGGTACTCGTCTGGAGCTGGTCGACTCAGCCGACTTGTTAGAATTGTTTCGTAACCTCGGAGGTCTCACTCTGTCCGCATTGCTCGTGGTCCTGCTGTTCGATCTGGACCCTGAAGAACTCGGTCGTTTGTAGTTTGACCTACTCGTAGAGGTTCCATCTTTTTCTCTTAAAGTGAACTGTCTTCCATTACTGGACGCTGGCGACGGTTTTATTCTGGATGAAGTTCTATCACCGTTCTGCTTTCTGTTCCTAACGCTTTGACTCGTCTCCGAGGACTCTGCCGACGTTTTTTCAGGGTTGTTGCCCGACTTGGACGGAGGTCGAGAGGTCGTTAGAGACCTTCCTCGGTTATTGTAACGAGCGATGGGTTTAGTGGTTGCTTTCGTGGTCTCCTCTTTATTGGACGCGCTCTCCATCACGTCGGACTTGTCTTCAACCTTCGAACTCGACTGATTGGGTCGGCGGAATCGATTGGTTAGCGACCTTAATTGACTCGCCTGTCTACGAGTTCTTCTCAACCTCGAGAACGGTCTGATCTGTACAGTCGGCCTGATAGATTTACCGGATCGACGGTTGACATTCGCCGTGGTTCTATCTTCGTGTTCCGAGCCTTCGTAATCGTTGTCCGCTATTTCCTCGACAGGATCATCTTCGAAGTTCTCCTCACCCTCTCCTTCCAAATCCTCAGGGTCTAACTCCTCGGTAGGTTCGGGTTTCTTTCCAAATAGCCCTCGAGGAGGAAATAAACCAGTGCCGCCCTGTCTAGGTCTAGTCGAGATCGGTGCATTGGCTCTACCGTTGGTACGACCATTGCTGACTTTAGGAGCAGTCGGCGGAGTCGTTCTATTCAAATTCCCGTTTCTTCTAGTAGTCGTAGGTGGCCTCGGAGTGGTTGCAGTCCTCCCAGAATTGTTCAAATTAATCGGCCTGCGGAATCTCAAAAGAGGATTGGTCGACCTCCTCGACGACTCCGTGGTTGTCTGCAGAGGTGTCGTCACGGTCTCCCCACCTTCCACATCATCGGTGTACAGAGTCTCGTCCGTCACCAAGGTCGTCGTGGTGAACTCGTTAGCGTCGTTCTCTTGGTCATCGTGTTTGACAGTTGGCTGTCCACGGAGGAGCGTCGAAGAGGCTCGAATAGGTGGCCTATACCTGCTGGAGGTTCCAGGGTACACGGAACTCGACGCACGAGTCGCAGCCCTTGCCGAAGAGCCCCTGATAGAAGTCGGACCGCGTCTGTTCCCTTGGAACACCGAAGACGGCGTTATTCTAGCCTGCGGTCTACCTCTGGTGCTGCCCACCGACGATGCGTAAGAGCTCGCAGTACTCGGAGAGCCTCTCCTTCCAGCAAACCTTCTGGACCCTGCCGGGGACAGCGTCGAAGAGTACGGACCTATCGGTGAACTGACTCTGCCCCTCGACGAGGCAAACCTGTTGCTTTTCCCGGCTAAGGTCGCCGTTATCGTCGGAGTCGCATCCGTTCTAGTAATCGTGGTTGCACCTTGCGCACCTTTTCTCTTCGGGTTGAACGTGGGCCTGCTCCTGGAGACGAACGGTCTGATCGCAGGCGTGAAGGTCCTCTTTCTCGTAGAGAACGTCAGTCTGGACTTTTTCTTGGAACTCTGTCCATCTTCACCCTCTTCGCTGTCCTCCTCGCTCTCGTCGTTCTGCTCGGAGTCTTCCGCGTCAGGAGACTCGGTGGTTGGGTCCTCTGACAAGGAAGACTGGATCACTGCCGGTGAAGGTGATATTTCGGGGACGTCCGTGGGTTTGGTGGGTGGCAAGGTCGCTGTCGGCGCGATGCTGATGGTAGGAGTCGACAGGAAGCTGGAAGTGCTTTCTATGATCTGGGCGTATCTGCCTTCAATACTCGTGCCGATCACTTTGGACTGGTACACTATGGTGGTTCCGTTGTTCTCGATTTGTCCTTGGATCAACCTCACCAGGCCAGTTCGGTGACCATGAGTGGGTGGAATGGTCGCCTTTCTCTCTTCGTTGATCTTCGTACTTGAAGTGCTCTCGATGACCTTGGCGTACAGACCATTCAACAGGGTACCAATCTGCTTGGTGGTGAAGTAAATCGTGGTCACTTCATCGGCATCCACCACGCTGCCCTTATTCATCGACAGAACACCCGTCGGAAGAACTGGAGTGGCGATCGATGGCAGAGGTGGTGTCTCTATTCTCGTCGAACTCTCAACAACCTGAGCGTACAATCCATCGATATAAGTACCATGAACATCGGTCATGTAATGAGTTGTGGTTCCATCGTTAACTTGACTGGACCTGACCGTAGAAATGAGTCCTATCTTCGGTACTTCGCTGGTTTTGGATGGAGTGACTGGCTTCTCTTCGGTCGCCAGACTTTGCTGATAAACGGGTCCATCGATTGCTCTTCCAGTCGCCAACTGCGGCGTTGCGACGACTTCAGGTACGGAAACACTGGTGACAGTCTCCAGTCTGCTGTTCAAGATGGTCTCGTTACCGATGTACGAGGTTGTGAAGTAGGTGTAAGTAGTATAGTACGTGACAGGCTCCGGTGAAATAGTGGAAGACTCCAAAGTGCTCTGTTCAGCAGGAGCCGTAGTGATGTCCTTCGACGTCGTTCCAAGTTCCTCCGTTTTCGCACTTTCAACGGGGTTAACGATCGAAGGTGTCACCTCATTATCAGCAGTGATCTTAGACTCCTTGTCACTAACAGAACTCTCTTCGCTGAAGGAGGACATTGGCCTGTAGGTCATAATAACACCCAGTTCGACGGTAGGAGTGGGTGCAACACCAGGAGTCACAACGTTGCTCACGGTTTCCTCTCGACTCGTGGTAACCGTGTCGCCACCCTTGTAAAACGTGGTCCAGTAAGTGAACGTGGTGAAGTAAGTAACCGGCAAGGTGCTCGCTTCCATAGGTACTACAGCAGTGGGTCTGATT